CCGGAGCTGTCCCCGCGTCCAGCCTTGTTGCGTGGGTTGGCCAGTCGCTTCCACCGTAAGCTGCGGCGCTCAGGAATGTTGCGTCGAAATGGCTCGACACGGCGAACCGTCGACACGCTCGAGTCACTGCCGCTTCGACTCAGTTTTATGTGCCGGCTGCTATACTTCGGCAGGGCTTTGATGCCACTGGCCGCAGCTGACACTGTCGTCACTTCCCGGCCACCCCGTCGTCCAACGGCATTCAGGGTACCAGTGCCGTCTTCGTTTACCACCGACGGGTCAGACGAGTTCAACGCTAGGCCATCACACTCGGACGACGGACGAGTCGATTCTTCGCCATCACCGCCGTTGCACTGATCTCTGACCATGCGGTCGCCGTGGCAGCAGGTCTGCGGGTTAATCGACAAACACAGCCTGGACGACGGCGATGACGACTCGTTCTTGACCACGTCCTCGGACACTGTCGACTGCTGCATGCCAACCGGACTCTGACGGTGCGAACATCTGTTCTCGGAAACATTTATTTCTTTAGCACTTTCTAAAACGATCACATGATTATAGGTTATGTAATGATTCATACAAGCATTACATTCTACTACGTTCAGGTTCAAGTCAACTCCATTCCTTTGTTCCACTTTGTGATCATTAGCTACTCACTTCTAAAACAGACTTGCTTCTATGATGTCAATCTACAGACTTACCAACTCAGAACCACTGATTCATCACATGATCCTTCCGGTTATTTTCTACATTATGCTTGTATACATATTTTGTTTACGTACACAATCCTGCTAATTGAGAGGTGCAGGGAGACGTCGAAGTTCACTCTTGAGGTAAGCTTAAAAGAATATATATTCTCATCCTTCTCCCTCTCCCTCCACCCCTTTTAGGTCGCCAGCTCAGCCGTTTGAATGATGAACTAGCAATTGAAGAGCATTCGGTACGAATCTCGGTTACAGTCACAGGCTGCAACTATTTCCAACTTTTGTCTATTGTCGATAAATCACCAACTACTACAACATGTTGGAAGGATATCTGCAACATTGTCTCAGATACTGCTTCAATGACACTGTCGCTTCTAACCTACTACAGA